TTCTTATCGACTCCGGTTCTTATCGACTCCGGTTCTTATCGACTCCGGTTCTTATCGACTCCGGTTCTTATCGACTCCGGTTCTTATCGACTCGGTTCTTATCGACTCCGGTGCTTATCGACTCCGGTTCTTATCGACTCCGGTTCTTATCGACTCCGGTTCTTATCGACTCCGGTTCTTATCGACTCCGGTTCTTATCGACTCCGGTTCTTATCGACTCCGGTTCTTATCGACTCCGGTTCTTATCGACTCCGGTTCTTATCGACTCCGGTTCTTATCGGCTCCGGTTCTTATCGGCTCCGGTTCTTATCGACTCCCCGTTTCGATTCCAAAATTGTAAAAGAAAGAGGTCAAATGTTTAAATAGCAAAAATATCTTTATTCTTTCAAACTTTAGGTTACTCCCCACAGGCGTTGCACTGTGCCTTCTCTCTCTCCGTGTGGTGGAGCCTCACTTTAGAGCGTTCTTTGGTGTTCGTCCAAAGGGTTAGTCCGCCGCGTTCAGGAACCGCTAAGCAGAACCCAAATCGTGTATTTTGTACCCGGTACCTGGCATTTTCTTATCGGCTCTCATCTGGAACCGAGTTTCGGTTCCCAACCCTTGTCCCCCCCCTCAAAATTCTAACTTTACTCAAATTTCAAGACTTTTTTCTAAAAAAATCTAAATTCTGACTTTTTTCTCAGAATCTCAAAATGATCACTTTTTCCCACAACATTTCCAAATGTTGACTTTTTCTGAAAATCAAAACAATTCTGACTAATTCTCAAAATGTCAATATTCTGACTTTTTTTCTGACCCTCAGTGACTCAGGCTGTATCACCTGTCTCTCTCTCACCTGTCTCTCTCTCACCTGTTCTGTCTCTGTCTCTCTCTCACCTGTCTGTCCCTCACCTGTCTCTCTCTCACCTGTCTCTCTCTCACCTGTCTGTCTCTGTCTCTCACCTGTCTCTCTCACCTGTCTGTCTCTGTCCCTCACCTGTCTCTCTCTCACCTGTCTCTCTCTCACCTGTCTGTCTCTGTCTCTCACCTGTCTCTCTCACCTGTCTGTCTCTGTCTCTCACCTGTCTCTCTCACCTGTCTGTCTCTGTCTCTCACCTGTCTCTCTCACCTGTCTGTCTCTCACCTGTCTCTCTCTCACCTGTCTCTCTCTCACCTGTCTCTCTCTCACCTGTCCTCTCTCTCACCTGTCCTCTCTGTCTCTCACCTGTCTCTCTCTCACCTGTCTCTCTCTCACCTGTCTCTCTCTCACCTGTCTGTCTCTGTCTCTCACCTGTCTCTCTCTCACCTGTCTCTCTCTCACCTGTCTGTCTCTGTCTCTCTCTCACCTGTCTCTCTCTCACCTGTCTGTCTCTGTCTCTCACCTGTCTCTCTCTCACCTGTCTATCTCTCACCTGTCACTCACCTCTCTGTCTCTCACCTGTCACTCACCTCTCTGTCTCTCACCTGTCTCTCTCTCACCTGTCTCTCTCTCACCTGTCTGTCTCTCACCTGTCTGTCTCTCACCTGTCTCTCTCTCACCTGTCTGTCTCTCACCTGTCTCTCTCTCACCTGTCTCTCTCTCACCTGTCTGTCTCTCACCTGTCTGTCTCTCACCTGTCTCTCTCTCACCTGTCTCTCTCTCACCTGTCTCTCTCTCACTGTCTGTCTCTCACCTGTCTGTCTCTCACCTGTCTCTCACCTGTCTCTCTCTCACCTGTCTGTCTCTCCTCTCTCACCTGTCTCTCTCTCCACCTGTCTGTCTCTCACCTGTCTCTCTCTCACCTGTCTCTCTCTCACCTGTCTCTCTCTCACCTATCTCTCTCTCACCTGTCTCTCTCTCACCTGTCTGTCTCTCACCTGTCTCTATCTCTCCCCTCAGTGACTCAGACTGTATTCGTCCGATCCATCAGGACGACCTTCAGAAAGCCATCGGGAAGATGAAGAAATCAAAGATGGCGGGAGGGCATGGAGCGCTGCTGCACGCTGCTCTGGACTGAACACACACTCACACTCTCACTCTCACTCACACTCACACACTCACACTCACACTCACACTCTCACTCACACTCACACTCACACACTCACACTCACTCACTCACACACACACACACACACCCTCTCTGAGGTGTTGAACATGTGCCATCTGTTTTATTGTCTCTGAAGCAGAAAAGCTGCTCTGAGAAAATCATTTTGAATAAACTCACAAATAAATAAAGTTGTAGTATTGGCTCTGAGAACTACGTTACCCATGAGCCTCAGCAGCCGTGGAAAGATAATCCAATGTCATTATTTATTAAATGAGTAGAACGTTCTGAAACAAAATGGAGTCAAATAAAAAATGAGGATAGATTATTTATTTGAATGATCTCTTTATTTTCTTTAACACTGATTTAAAGATAAGATTTAAACCCTAATTATTATTTCTGACTCTTTGGGGTTTCTTTAGTTTCTAACAAACCTTTATTTACACATAAATACAACAACAAGGTGCATTCTGGGATGTTATTATGATGTAAACAAAGTGTACTTTCTCATTAAGTTTATAAACTGAGCTCTGGGTCGGTCAGCACTCACTGGTGTTTGTTTACATGGATCTTGTTGACTTGTTGACTCTAAACCTCGGCGTCAGGTTTGTAAACAAAGGTTGAGATTGTTTGTACATTGTAGTTCTTAGTGAAGGTGTGATGTCTGGACGATGGAATAAAGACGTGGAAACAAACAAGTGTTTACCTGTTGTTGTTGTTTATAAAGATTTCAATTGGGAATATGTGGAAGGTTGTCTCTCGTTTTAACCCTTTAACTCTCAGTTCACTGAATCAATAACATGTATTTTGCATATTCTTGACTCGTGTTCTGATAGAAAGTTCTTAAAGGGGACCTATCATGCACTTTGTGATGTCTTCTCTACATCACCATGTGTCCCCGCTGCGTCTCCGGTGCGTCCCCGCTGCGTCTCCGGTGCGTCCCCGGTGCGTCCCCGGTGTGTCCCCGCTGCGTCGGGGAACTCACGCAGCATCAGGAAATAAATCCCTCTCTCTTTTCCTCTGTACCCAAATCTCTAAAAACGGGGAACAACGGAGCTGATCCAGATTTGCGTCCGATATGACGTAATATCTGAAATGTGGACCCACGGCCCAATCAGAAAGTTGCTATCAGAAACAATGCCTGACTGGTTTTGGACGTAATATGGTCGGTGTTTACATTAGCATGCTAACACTCAGAGCTAACCTGTACTGGAGAGCATGTGTGTGAAGAAGCAGGAAGTAGAAAGGAACTCACCTTGTGGTGTAACCGGCAAGAGAGAAAGCCTTTGAGCTCCAGACTGTTTCAGAGAGAATCCTTGATAATCCATGATATGGCGTTTCATCACGGCAGCATTTAGTTTAGACAGTAGCTGCCGGGTCCCGCATGAGCTCAGACCCTCCTCTTTAAAGCTTTATACCCAAATCAGCACTTTAGAAACAGGAAGTGAAACAGAAGGATATGAGGCGTGGCTAGAATGATCTGTTTGGTGTTTGGAGCAAAACACTTCAGACATGTTTTTCATATATCTGAGCTCGATGCTAAATCACATCTCACTTGTTAGACGCTGTTCTCCAAAGAGACTCACAGACTCGACACTGAGGACAATCCCCTCAGGAGCACTTTGGGGTGAAGCGTCTCAGGGACACAACATGCTGACTGCAGTGGGGTTTGAACCTGTGCTCCCTGATCCCAACACCAACGCATTACCCACTGCGCCACACGCCTATTGCCTTAAAATAGCACGAAAGATGACCTTTAACTTTAACTGAAAGGAAGTTTCATGTTATTTCTGAAACAGGAAAAGACGACAGTTTGTTTTATTTCTGAGATGTTTTAATTAAAGCTTAGATTCAAACATTTGGCAATAAAACATGAAGTTAAAGAAAGATCAATAAAACCTGAAGTTAAAGAAAGATCAATAAAACATGAAGTTAAAGAAAGATCAATAAAACATGAAGTTAAAGAAAGATCAATACAAATACATCCCATGATCCTTTACTCCTGAATAAATAAGAATATAACCTGAAGCGCCTGCATCATACAACCTGCAGAGGATAACCTTTAAACGTCACTTCCTGATTCTCTTTCTCTTTAAAAACTGCTTTTAAAGAGTTTTTTTGTGCTTTCAATGTTTAAAAAGTGACGTTTCTGTTGATCTCCTCTATTTAATGACCAGCAGAAGAGCTGGATGTGAGTCCATCTGGAGAGAGAAGACAGTGAGGAGACACATCCAGATGTCCTCCTCTCCTCAAACCAGCCAATCAGAGAGCAGGTCTCTGTCATCTGGGCAAATATCAGCCAATCAGAAGCCTGCGTTAGAAACCGCTAGAACAGCTTTCATTTAAAAAAGCTTCTTTCATTGAACCGAAACCAGTTAAAGCAGACGAAGATAAACCCTGCAGAGTCTTATCGTACATATTTAACCCCGTATTGTACATGTGACGCAGGTCATGTGACCCGTGTTATTCAACATGAACCGAACGTGTTTTCTTGGTATTTGGAGATTTCACAGGTTAATAAAGAACCTCGTGATGTCGTTGGTCAGGTGGATCCTTAAAATCACAATATTATTCCATTTTTATCCAACTACTTTTCTGGAAACACAACTTATTTGGGGATTTCCTACTTTCAGACGGTCCTTGAACGCCTCACGTGGGATAAAAGCTTCCTTCAGGAAAAATGAAATTCTACATGTATGGTTTGAAGCAGGTCATGTGACCCGTGTTATTGATCCGAACGTGTTTTCTTGGTATTTGGAGATTTCACAGACGTTAGTTAAGAACCTCATGATGTCATTGGTCAGATGCCTCCTCCTCCTGTCCAATCAGAGCTCTGTGTTGGGCGCGCGTCCCCCCCGGCCCTCACACTCGCGTGCAGAGTCGCAGCCGTCCAGCAGGGGGCGGTACGCGGCGCGGACGTCCCTGTACAGCGGCACGTCGTCGTGGGGCAGACCGGGGAATCGAACCGGCTTCTCGTTGAGCAGCAGCTGGAGACGAGGGCCGCGCTGACAGTCGAAGAGGACGAAGAGCAGGTTGGCTGCGTACGGGACGATCAGCCCGGAGCGGAAAGTACGACCTGCGGGGTTACCAACAAACATTACATCATTAACACTTCAATGTGTGTGTGTGTGTGTGTGTGTGTGTGTGTGTGTGTGTGTGAGAGAGAGAATGAGTGAGTGAGTGTGTGAGTGTGTGTGTGTTACCGTGCTGCTGCGGGTAGTTGTCAGCAGTGGGGGGGTGGGGGTCCCTGTAGAGCCCCAGCAGAGAGAGGAGGGGCAGCAGCGTCTCGGCGTGACCCAGCAGCACCGAGGCCGTCAGGGCGGGGGGGGCGTCCGTCGCTCTGAGGGGCAATAAAGGTAATTCAAACACTGAGTCTGAGTGTGTGTGTGTCAGAGTCCTGCATCGGGGCGGGTACCCGACGGGTGACCCGCAAAAAAGGTGATTCGCGGGTGGTATATTTTCAAACGCTTTTTTCCGGGTTCGGTTCTGGGTAAAACAAAGATGATGCGGGTCGGGTCGCGGGTGTTGCATAATAAATATATTAAAATAATAATAATTTAGTTTAATGTTTAAATCCTCAGACCTCTCCCCCGCGGGACCGCGCATAATCGTAACCTCTGCAGCGCATCAGTCTGCTGCTGAGCGCCACATTGGAAATGGCTGAGCTGAAGCTCTCTAGCGGAGAATACAGCATTTTCAATAACACTTCTTCAAGAACAAAATCCAGCGTCTGGAGGCTTCTGGTTCCTAGATGAGGAAAGAACCAACATCCCACGCTCTTTGAGACAAATATGCAACTGCGTGTGTTAATAATTGCACGTTTTCACTGCTCATATATGCGGGTTCGGGTCGGGTTGCGGATCTTGTGCCGACGGGTCGGGTCGGGTTCGGTATTGCACGTCGCGGGTGCGGGACGGGAGCGGGTCTTGAAAATCAGACCCGTGCAGGACTCTTGTGTGTTTGTGTGTGTGTGTGTGTGTGTGTGTGTGTGTGTGTGGTGTGAGTGTGTGTGTGTGTGAGTGTGTACCTGCGTGGGCGTCCTGCTTTGTCCAGCGTTCTGAAGACGTGGTGGAATAACGGACAGCTGGACACACCGCTGATCACATGACCGTGGAAACGCTTCCAGAACTGCTTTAGGTCTGACTTATACTCCAACACCTGGACAGGTGTTATAATGACATCATTATTACTGTGTGTGTGTGTGTGTGTGTGTGTGTGTGTGTGTGTGTATGTGTGTGTGTTTACCCTGGCATCCTCCTCAGTGAACAGGAAGCACCACGGTGAGTTCAGGGACCGGATGGAGAGTTCGTAAGAACACAAGAAGAAGGCGGCTTCTACCAGATCTACGGGAGACCAGGAGGGACAAACTTCATCAAACACACACAGAGGAGGTGTGTGTGTGTGTGGTGTGTGTGTGTGTGTGTGGTGTGTGTGTGTGTGTGTGTGTGTGTGTGTGTGTGTGTACCTGGTGTGAGGAGGTGGGGGGGGAGCCCCAGCTTCATAGCGACCCTCCCCCGGACCCCCTCCATCTCGCCCCCCTTTTTGAACCGATGAACCTCCACCAGCGCCGTCCGGTTCTTCTCCACACCCTCCACGTAACCACGGCAACGCTCGAAGAACCGAAGCAGCTCGTCGTCGACGGAGTGAGATAACCGCCCGACTGCAGGGGGAGAGAGAGGGTCAGGAACACTGCGCTCCTATTGGCTAGAAGATCATTTTGTTCTCAAAATTCTGACATTTTTCCCAACATCCTCCCCTCAACCCTCTAGCTGCACTCTGGCTGACACACGCCCATGACTCCAACCCCTCACTGGAGAGGACGAGACACCCGGGCCCTCACTGGAGAGGACGAGACACCCGGGCCTCACTGGAGAGGACGAGACACCGGGCCCTCACTGGAGAGGACGAGACACCCGGGCCCCTCGCTGGAGAGGACGAGACACCCGGGCCCTCGCTGGAGAGGACGAGACACCCGGGCCCTCGCTGGAGAGGACGACGGATCACCCGGGCCCTCGCTGGAGAGGACGAGACACCCGGGCCCTCGCTGGAGAGGACGAGACACCCGGGCCCTCACTGGAAGAGGACGAGACACCCGGGCCCTCGCTGGAAGAGGACGAGACACCCGGGCCCTCGCTGGAGAGGACGAGACACCCAGGCCCTCGCTGGAGAGGAGGAGACACCCGGGCCCTCGCTGGAGGAGGAACGAGGACACCCGGGTCCCTCGCTGGAGAGGGACGAGACAGGGCCCTCGCTGGAGAGGACGAGACACCCGGGCCCTCGCTGGAGAGGACGAGGACACCCAGGGCCCTCGCTGGAGAGGACGAGACACCCAGGCCCTCGCTGGAGAGGACGAGACACCCAGGCCCTCGCTGGAGAGGACGAGACACCGGGCCCTCGCTGGAGAGGACGAGACACCCGGGCCCTCGCTGGAGAGGACGAGAACCCGGGCCCTCGCTGGAGAGGAGAGACACCCGGGCCCTCGCTGGAGAGGACGAGACACCCGGGCCCTCGCTGGAGAGGACGAGACACCCGGGCCCTCGCTGGAGAGGACGAGACACCCGGGCCCTCGCTGGAGAGGACGAGACACCCGGGCCCTCGCTGGAGAGGACGAGACACCCGGGCCCTCGCTGGATGAGGACGAGACACCCGGGCCCTCACTGGAGAGGACGAGACACCCGGGCCCTCACTGGAGAGGACGAGACACTCGGGCCCTCACTGGAGAGGACGAGACACTCGGGCCCTCACTGGAGAGGACGAGACACCCGGGCCCTCACTGGAGAGGACGAGACACCCGGGCCCTCACTGGAGAGGACGAGACACCCGGGCCCTCACTGGAGAGGACGAGACACCCGGGCCCTCACTGGAGAGGACGAGACACCCGGGCCCTCACTGGAGAGGACGAGACACCCAGGCCCTCACTGGAGAGGACAAGACACTCAGGCCCTCACTGGAGAGGACGAGACACCCGGGCCCTCACTGGAGAGGACGAGACACCCGGGCCCTCACTGGAGAGGACGAGACACTCGGGCCCTCACTGGAGAGGACGAGACACCCGGGCCCTCACTGGAGAGGAGGAGACACCCGGGCCCTCACTGGAGAGGACGAGACACTCAGGCCCTCACTGGAGAGGACGAGACACCCGGGCCCTCACTGGAGAGGACGAGACACTCGGGCCCTCACTGGAGAGGACGAGACACCCGGGCCCTCACTGGAGAGGAGGAGACACTCAGGCCCTCACTGGAGAGGACGAGACACTCGGGCCCTCACTGGAGAGGACGAGACACCCGGGCCCTCACTGGAGAGGACGAGACCACTCAGGCCCTCACTGGAGGAGGACGAGACACCCGGGCCCTCACTGGAGAGGAGGAGACACCCGGGCCCTCGCTGGAGAGGACGAGACACCCGGGCCCTCACTGGAGAGGACGAGACACTCGGGCCCTCACTGGAGAGGACGAGACACCCAGGCCCTCACTGGAGAGGACGAGACACCCTGGCCCTCACTGGAGAGGACGAGACACCCAGGCCCTCACTGGAGAGGACGAGACACCCAGGCCCTCACTGGAGAGGACGAGACACCCGGGCCCTCACTGGAGAGGACGAGACACCCGGGCCCTCACTGGAGAGGACGAGACACCCGGGCCCTCACTGGAGAGGACGAGACACCCGGGCCCTCACTGGAGAGGACGAGACACCCAGGCCCTCACTGGAGAGGACGAGACACTCAGGCCCTCACTGGAGAGGAGGAGACACCCGGGCCCTCACTGGAGAGGACGAGACACCCGGGCCCTCGCTGGAGGAGGACGAGACACCCAGGCCCTCGCTGGAGAGGAGGAGACACCCAGGCCCTCGCTGGAGAGGACGAGACACCCGGGCCCTCGCTGGAGAGGACGAGACACCCGGGCCCTCGCTGGAGAGGACGAGACACCCGGGCCCTCGCTGGAGAGGACGAGACACCCGGGGCCCTCGCTGGAGAGGACGAGACACCCGGGCCCTCGCTGGAGAGACGAGACACCCGGGCCCTCGCTGGAGAGGACGAGGACACCCGGGCCCCTCGCTGGAGAGGACGAGACACCCGGGCCCTCGCTGGAGAGGACGAGACACCCGGGCCCTCGCTGGAGAGGACGAGACACCCGGGCCCTCGCTGGAGAGGACGAGACACCCGGGCCCTCACTGGAGAGGACGAGACACCCGGGCCCTCACTGGAGAGGACGAGACACCCGGGCCCTCGCTGGAGAGGACGAGGACACACCGGGCCCTCACTGGAGAGGACGAGACACCCGGGCCCTCACTGGAGAGGACGAGACACCCGGGCCCTCACTGGAGAGGACGAGACACCCGGGCCCTCACTGGAGAGGACGAGACACCCGGGCCCTCACTGGAGAGGACGAGACACCCGGGCCCTCACTGGAGAGGACGAGACACCCAGGCCCTCACTGGAGAGGACAAGACACCCAGGCCCTCACTGGAGAGGACGAGACACCCGGGCCCTCACTGGAGAGGACGAGACACCCGGGCCCTCACTGGAGAGGACGAGACACTCGGGCCCTCACTGGAGAGGACGAGACACCCCGGGCCCTCACTGGAGAGGAGGAGACACCCGGGCCCCTCACTGGAGAGGACGAGACACTCAGGCCCTCACTGGAGAGGACGAGACACCCGGGCCCTCACTGGAGAGGACGAGACACTCGGGCCCTCACTGGAGAGGACGAGACACCCGGGCCCTCACTGGAGAGGAGGAGACACTCAGGCCCTCACTGGAGAGGACGAGACACTCGGGCCCTCACTGGAGAGGACGAGACACCCGGGCCCTCACTGGAGAGGACGAGACACTCAGGCCCTCACTGGAGAGGACGAGACACCCGGGCCCTCACTGGAGAGGAGGAGACACCCGGGCCCTCACTGGAGAGGACGAGACACCCGGGCCCTCACTGGAGAGGACGAGACACTCGGGCCCTCACTGGAGAGGACGAGACACCCAGGCCCTCACTGGAGAGGACGAGACACCCTGGCCCTCACTGGAGAGGACGAGACACCCAGGCCCTCACTGGAGAGGACGAGACACCCAGGCCCTCACTGGAGAGGACGAGACACCCGGGCCCTCACTGGAGAGGACGAGACACCCGGGCCCTCACTGGAGAGGACGAGACACCCGGGCCCTCACTGGAGAGGACGAGACACCCGGGCCCTCACTGGAGAGGACGAGACACCCAGGCCCTCACTGGAGAGGACGAGACACTCAGGCCCTCACTGGAGAGGAGGAGACACCCAGGCCCTCACTGGAGAGGACGAGACACCCAGGCCCTCACTGGAGAGGACGAGACACCCAGGCCCTCACTGGAGAGGACGAGACACCCGGGCCCTCACTGGCCTCCCTGCTGGCAGTGACAGGTGAACATGCTCAGCCGCTAAATGACCTAATGTCATGCCTTACACTCAGTCTGTGGCTCGAGTACTTTGTTCAATAAGGTAAAACACTTTAAGAAGCTTAAGTCATGATGATGGTGTACTATTTCTGAATGTACTGTCTATTTATGATTATGATTTGTATTATTACTAATAACACTGCTACCGTCTCTTTTCTGTTTTGTACTCCAGAGATGTCACCTCCTTGCACATATTGTTCAGGTCTGTTTGGGACCGGGGGAGGGGTGCATGTGGAAATGTGTTGATGTTTGTTGTTGTCTTTAAAAAAATCTATTTCTGAGGGGAAAATCTAAACATTCTGACTTTTGTGTGTGTGTGTGTGTGTGTGTGTGTGTGTGTGTGTGTGTGTGTGTGTGTGTGTGTGTGTGTGTGTGTGTGTACCCTGCAGCCCCTCCCTGAAGGCCTCCATGCTGCTCACACAGCGGTGTTTGGAGCTGGTCTTCAGGCTGAAGCTGCTCTGCTCCGACAGAAGAGAGGGGAACAGCTTCTGGAGCCGCTGGGCGAGGAGCCGGAGGTCCTGCCGGCCCTTATCCACCAGCTGCCCTGAGAAGAGAGAGAGGTACAGTGGGGCAACAAAGTATTTAGTCAGCCACCAAGTGTGCAAGTTCTCCCACTTAAAAAGATGAGAGGCCTGTAATGTTCATCCTAGCTACACCTCAACTATGAGAGACAGGATGGGGGAAAGAATCCAGGAAATCACATCGTAGGATTTTTAATGAATTTATTTGCAAATGATGGTGGAAAATAAGTATTTGATCAATAACAAAAGTTCATCTCAATACTTTGTTATAAACCCTTTGTTGGCAATGACAGAGGTCAAAGGTTTCCTGTAAGTCTTCACAAGGTGTTCACACACTGTTGCTGGTATGTTGGCCCATTCCTCCGTGCAGATCTCCTCTAGAGCAGTGATGCTTTGGGGCTGTCGCTGGGCAACACAGACTTTCAACTCCCTCCAAAGATTTTCTATGGGGTTGAGATCTGGAGACTGGCTAGGCCACTCCAGGACCTTGAAATGCTTCTTACGAAGCCACTCCTTCGTTGCCCGGGCGGTGTGTTTGGGATCATTGTCATGCTGAAAGACCCAGCCACGTTTCATCTTCAATGCCCTTTCTGATGGAAGGAGGTTGTCACTCAAAATCTCACGATACATGGCCCCATTCATTCTTTCCTTTACACGGATCAGTGGTCCTGGTCCCTTTGCAGAAACACAGCCCCAAAGCATGATGTTCCCACCCCCATGTTTCACAGTAGGTGTTCTTTGGATGCAACTCAGCATTCTTTCTCCTCCAAACACGTCTAGTTGAGTTTTTACCAAAAGGTTCTATTTTGGTTTCATCTGACCATATGACATTCTCCCAATCCTCTTCTGGATCATCTAAATGCTCTCTAGCACACTTCAGACGGGCCTGGACATGTACTGGCTTAAGCAGGGGGACACGTCTGGCACTGCAGGGTTTGAGTCCCTGGCGGCGTAGTGTGTTACTGATGGTAGCCTTTGTTACTTTGGTCCCAGCTCTCTGCAGGTCATTGACTAGGTCCCCCCGTGTGGTTCTGGGATCTTTGCTCACCGTTCTTGTGATCATTCTGACCCCAAGGCGCTCCCAGGCTAGCGAAGAGATATAATCCCTCCACCTGGTCCTAGGTCTACCCCTTGGTCTCCTCCCAGCTGGACGTGCCTGGAACACCTCCCTAGGGAGGCGCCCAGGTGGCATCCTTACTATGTGCCCGAACCACCTCAACTGGCTCTATATATATATATATATATATATATATATATATATATATATATATATCATTAATACAGATATAACCAGAGGTGTAGTGGGGATTTTTTTACTGGGTGGACGCTATCTTAAATTAGGTAATCCCAAACAATGCCACAAGTGCGCATGCGCGCACTGGCAGGTGTACAGGTACAAGTATTTTCAGTCATATCAATGTTATCTGTTATATCTTTTTTAATATGTCAGCTGTTTAAACAGTAATATATGGTAATTATTTTCAGTTATAATTTATAAATACAAATTCTTCCAGTAATATAATTATTGTTTTTGTGTAAACATTTAGAAATACAATATCATTATTTTCATTACCATGAAAGCATTTTCACAGCTATATGTTAGTCCCTCTCTGCCCCCCTGCTCCGGGTCTCACCGTCCATGTCCTCCGTGTACCAGTTCTCCCAGCTCCGGATCTCCCGCAGCCAGTCCCCGGTCGCCCCTCCGGTCGTTCCTCCGGTCGCTCCCCCCCCTGCGGCCCCCCCTCCGGTCCGTCCTCCGGTCGCCACCAGCTCGCTGAGCCTCCGGATCCTCTGGATGTTCTTCACGGTGGGGAACCGGCTCCCGTGGCGGATCAGGGCGGTGAGGTGCACCGGGGAGCAGCTCTCTCCGGGAGGGGGTCTCAGCACGGACCGGTTCACCCACAGCGGGTCCAGCAGCAGAGCCCGGTTCACCTCCTCATACCGGGTCTTGGTGCCGAAGAACCGGGCAATGTGAGGGACCTCCGGGAGGGAGAGGGAGAGGGGGGGGCAGCAGCAGACACACGGCCGAGAGGAGAGCTCTGTGAGCGGGCAGAGAGCAGGGGGACATGTCGGCGGAGAACCGGAGCTCCAGTGTTGATGATCCGGTTCATGTTGTTGATCCGGTTCATGATCCGCTTAGACTGGCTGGAGCGCCCCCAGCTGGACGGAGGTTAAACCAGGAGTTATTCAAATACATCAACATACAAACACATAAATGTAAAGATATCTGACAATAAAACCAACAACAACAATCTGAATCAGAATCAGAACCAGAACCAGAACCAGAACCTTCATTAGTCCCAAAGAGGGGGCATTACATTGTTACAATAATACAATGATAGCAAATAGGAAACACAAATAAATAATAAAAATAATAATCAGAAATTATTTCATATATTTTATTCTTCTGACCAACATATGTTAGTAATTTATAATCCTTACTTACTGTAATATGTCAGTAATGTCATATGAATGTTTCCTGGTCTAACACAAGTTGTTGTTGACATGGATCTCAAACCAGTTCCCTGTCTCTGAGGAGGGATCAGGTGACTCTCTCTGTCTCTGCTGTAAACACCTGTTACTACCTGTATGTACATGTTAACACCTGTTACCTGCAGCGCTTCACTGGTTTAACACCATCAGGTCTTCAGATCAGCGGGACCTCCTCCTCTCTCGGGTCTCTTCCTGCTCCACAGTGAGTCTGTTCACTCTGTTCTTACAGCCGACCTTCAGTCTCTGTTCTCTTTCTGGTTCTCTTTGTTCTTGAGACAGCTGAGGGACTAAGGGTTCTGACCCGGAGCGATGGGCAGAGACCGGCTCTGTATTAAAGGTGCAAGAAGGCGGTTCTGGTGATCAGAATAAAGTACTCAGATCTTGTACTTCAGACAGACTGATCTGTTCAGAGTACTGAGCCTCCTCCTTCCCGTAGCACTGGGTATATCCAGTGGCGACTGGTCATTAGGAGCAGGTGGGGCACAGCCCCACCTAGTGTCAGTAGAAAGTATTACAAATAATGATTACAACAAAATGCAAAAAATAAATTAAAACATATATAAAATATATTTTAAGATCATGTTTAATCATCTGATTCGTCTCATTGCTGTTTTAGTCTGTGTTCTTCTAGTTAGTGTCTACAGTGTGTGCCTATTGAGCTGTTTGAGCCATGTGGGACAAAACCCGATCCTGCCCCTCCCTCTCACTGTCTAAGTGAACGGTGACTGTAAAAACTACACTGCGCATGCTCAGAATATTTTCCTATTTAATGTGTGTGGCAAACAAATAATGACCATAGGGGCATAGAGCTACCATCCCCACCATACGTCATCTCACATCATTCAGAGCTGATTGGCTGTAAGTACGTGTGCCGCGAAAAGTGTGGTGTGTGAAGAGGAGACGAGAGACGCGTCCTAAAACCCGGAAGTAAGCTGCGCATGGCTTCCCTCCACAAAAAAGCAATGAGATTTCTCCATAGGATTTTAGAAAATAGCTCAAAGTAAGATCTGTGGGAAACGTAGCTGTTAAAGATAAATGCACGTTTTGTTCAGCCGGATAATATCCACATGTCTACCCTACTTTTATACTTTTCTAATCATAAATCTATTGATTAGATTAGATTTATGATAGACTTTTGAAACTACAAGAACATAAGGAGGACTTTTACAAAAAAGTAATAGAGATTTTTGTCCAGAAGGATAGGCAAATGGACTTCATCTTCATGTCAAGGTAAGACTGCAATGTTATTGAAAATGGGATCTTACTAAGAGAGAACAATTCAATATTTAAATGATACAATTACATTTTTTGGGTATCCTTTTGTTGAACTGTCTGTTTAAAATTAATTGAAGCATCAGACTAAAGAGGCTTTTGAAAATAATATTATATTTTGATTTAGGTCAAAATATAATATTTGTAAACCTGAAGAGTCAGAGCCTCAGCAGCCATGAACCTCACTGCAGAAGCTTATAGACATCTAAGTTTGATGTGCCCCACCACTTTAGTACATATAAAAACGCCACTGGGTATATCTGTGTTGTATCTGAGCTGTGGTTCTGTATCAAAGACTCATTAAAGCTCCAGTTCTTCAGTAGAACCTCCAGTCGGCTTCAGGTGGTCCTGAACCTGATCCGAGGTTCATCAGCTCGGGTTCCAGAGTCAGAGACTGCCTATAAATGTTCATCCTAACATGTTTTACACTGGTTTTGTAATGGCATCCAAGGTTTCCTTTTGCCACTATAGAGCGGGGCTGACGACACGCAATCCAAGACAATAAGCAGCCGAAGCTTTTCAGTCAAAAAATGTAATTTATTAACAAAAAAGTATTGACTTAAATAGTCTCAAAATAACAAATCTAAATCAATATTTCGGCGGTATGCTTTCCTATATAAACTATACTTTGCAGTCCAATTTGCAACACTAATCTCTGTTTACAATTTGCGGTGGAAAAACTGTTCCGCTCCCCGTCTCATCAGGTCTCCGAGCACGCCGGCTGTCCTCAATTACCTCACTTAAATACACACCGGAAGGTACAAGGACACAGATCATATTTACGATATAAAATTAACAATCATTTCCTCAAAACATATTCACCATGGCAATATAAATCATTTTCCATCATTAAATCATTTATCAAATTATGAATCGAAATAATAACGTTGTGGCTCTAACACACCGGCCCCTAATTGTTGACGCAGTAGCAAAACAATTAATACATTATAATAGAGCCAAAACAAGCAGTTACTCAAAATGTAACTGTCACCAATATACAATCATTGTCATAGTTCATAGTCCAATGTTTGTGTTAGGTGTGTTTGCATGAGTTCAAGAGGAAAAGGGGGGGGCATGTGTGTGTGTGATACTGGGTGTCAGAGGTTACTAGCACATGACACCTTGTCAATCAACTGCTTCCAGGAGCAGACAGAGCTTGTCAATAGACCTATCGCTAAGCCACGCCCCCTTTGAAAACTCGGACAAACAAAGCCGACCGTGAATGACTGTTGACAATGGCCGCGGGGGGAGTTCAAGTCAATGTTAGCAGTGGTGGTCACTACATTAAATCTATAACTATAACTGTCCTTGTTGGTCATCATGTTCACTGTTATGCACCTGGCTGACTGTTACGTTACCTTTTTTTGGTTGAGGGTCTGTGTCTTTTCGGAGCAGCACACACGAGAGCCCGGATGGGATCTGGATATTCCAGAGTTGGCTTCCCATCTCTGAAGTGCTTTGAGGTGAAAAGACAGTTAGCTAAAAACACCAGCTAACTAGCGAGGACGAAAAGTCAGACAGAAAACGTTGATGTTGATAACACTGTAGCTAGTTAGCTGGCTAACAAGTTGGCAGCTAACGTTAGTTAGCTGGGCTGGATATACGCTAGCTAGTTGGCAGTCAAAGTCAATCGTTAGCAAACTAATAGTTTGGTCTACGTTTCTAATACATGCCGTCAAATATTATGTCTTTATGAATTGACCTTACCTTTGAGCAATAATAAGTGTCCTTGGTAATTGTCTTCACATTCAGTTGTGTATGTGCTATGTGGTTGACGACACAGCATAATCCACCGCTTGCATTTGTTGAGTTTTCTTTTGGGCTTCGGAAAAGGTACGAAATATAATCCTCCATCCAGTCTTTTAGGGTACCTGGTGTCCGAATTACAGGTACCCCACGCACAGCGTTTCACCATCAGATATTAGCTAGATAATAAACATAGAAACTGAACTCTTCACAGTGGTTTCGATCACAGACGTCTGGTTTTGGTTTGATGCGCCCCACAAACGGCTTTTCTGGTGATGTCCGAGTTTTCTGCCAGGAGGGATTTTTGCTGTGATATGATTGGACAAATTCTATTTGGGGCGTGGTTTAGCGATAGGTCTATTGGTCGCTGTAAGGTGCTACCCTTGGTTTTCACCAAGACACTTCGGACAAGCCCTTTGGACCCTGACAGTGTCTTTATCACCCGGCCCAGTTGCCAGGAATTTCTTGGTGCCGTGTTATCCACGATGACGACGAGATCATTGGGGCGAAGGTTCCGTTTGGGGTTGTGCCATTTGACTCGCTGTTGCATGGTTGGGAGATATTCTCTTATCCATCTCCTCCAGAAGAGATCTGCGAGGTATTGTGCCTGTCTCCATCTCCTCCGTGAGTACAAGTCCTCCTTGTGAAAGAGTCCAGGTGGCATAATTGGTTTTGTCTTTAGCAGAAGGAGGTGATTTGGCGTGAGGGGTTCGAGATCGTTTGGGTCACTTGAAACTGTAGTCAATGGTCTGTCATTCATGATGCTCTCAACTTCGCACAAAGCTGTCTGTAGAGTCTCATCATCCAATCTCTGTTCTTTTAGAACGGAACACAGGCTCTGGTTATCTTTCTGGCTGCCGAGTTAGCACGAGGCAACCAGAATCTTTGATTCAGTCTTGAGAGCATGTGGCTTCTCCCCGAGTGTCCAATCTGCTGATGGATGTGGCCCAGGATCAGTTTGGATACAGTAGAGTCTCTGGGCAGGATAATGGGGTTCTTCAGATCCATTGGCATTGCTGATTTGCTTATTCGTCCTCCCACTCTTAGCACGCCTTCAACTAAGATTGGGTCCAGCTTCCTGATAGAGCTGCTTGCTCTTACTTGCCTTCCCTTCTCCAAAAGTGCAAGTTCCTGAGAGAAGTGACGTCTTTGCTCAGAGTGAAGTATTGACCTTTCAGCTTCTCTAATGTCCTCCACAGACAGATGTTGTGATCCAAATGTCAACTTTAGCGTGTTCATTTTGTCCTTTAAGGATTTCAAAAGAGTCCCATCTGGGGCAAGGTCAGCCTTTGCAGATTTCCTTCTTTGATTTAGCAGAAGAAGAATTCCCCTTAATTTAAGTATCCAAGCAACCCCTCTCTGCAGTCTGCTCCATGATGAGTAATACTCAAACAGTTTGCTGGTTGGGTTGGTTTCGTGGACACTCAAACTCTTAACTGCTACGTCCTTTCTAACCTCTGGGTCCTCTGATGGAATGAGGCCCAGGTTCTTAGGTGTTTTTGGCCATGGCTCCTTTTCCAGATACTGAGGTCCTGTTATCCACCTTGATGTCTTTAGAAAGTCTTCTACATGCAGCCCACGGGATGCGTCGTCGGCAGGGTTGTCTATGGAGCTCACATGCCTCCACTGCTTCTCCTGAGACAGGTCCTTGATCACTGAAACTCTGTTTGCCACAAATGTGTGATATCGTTTAGTCTGGTTGCTGATGTATCCGAGGACAGAGGTGCTATCTGTCCAGAAGGTTGAGTCGTTGAGGTCCACTTTAAGCTCCCTTTTCAACATCCTGTCCACCTTTACTGCAAGTGTTGCTGCAGTAAGCTCCAATCTGGGAATAGTGATCTGTTTGAGTGGAGTCACTCTGGATTTTCCCAAAGTAAATGCAACATGGACCCTTCCCATACCGTTTGTAAAGCGAAGATAGCTGGTGGTGCCGTAACCTTTTTCGCTTGCGTCACAGAAGTGATTGATTGATTGATTGATTGATTGATTGATTGATTGATTGAAAAGTGTATTAACAGCTTGTATATTGGGTACAGTACAGTACAGCTCAAAACATACAATTGTTAAGGGGATGCAGACCAGAGAAAGACTTTCGTCTTGTTTACATCAGGGTCCCCCATTTCCAATTCATCATGTCATTTAAGACATATTTGACATACAGATGGCTTATTTACAATTTACATACAGGTGTTTTTTTACATACAGATTGCTTGTTTACAATTTACATTTTAGATTTCGTTCTAATACATCCTAACCGGACATTTAAGACATACCAAGTCTACAGATATACAGTTAGTAACAGAGTCTAAAATGCGAGTATATACATAGATGGGGGGGGGGAAGCTGTCCATTGAACGACAGGTTGAGATTTGTACCATTACCGGGGCCAGTTTTGCAATGCTCTCCCCCGAAGGTGCTCTTTAAGAGAGGTTTTGAAGGTAAGTATAGTTTTACTTTCCTTTACAGTTGTGGGAAGAGCGTTCCACCTTGATGTGGCATCATTGCGAAACGTGTATTCCCCCTTTTTTGTGCCAAATCTGGGTTTCACATGATTTGTGGAGCTCCCTCTGGTGTTATGATCATGGTATTCCTTGACCTTTGGGAAGAGTTTTGACATGTACATGGGTACCATAGAGGTGTAGTGGATCTTGTAGACCAGGCCCATTGCAAGTAGCTGTACTCTGTCGTCTACTCTAAGCCATCCTAGGTTGTCAAAGTGGGCAGAGGTGAGGTGGGTTCTAGATGAAAGGTCAAGCAGTAGTCTGACCAGTTTATTTTGCAATGTCTGAAGTTTTATTTTTAGCGCCTTGGAGGTGCTATGGTACCATGACATGCAAGCATAGTCATAGTACCCTTGAATGAGTGCTCCTGCCAGAGTCTTCAGGGTGTTCTTGTTTACCAGAGAGGAGATCCGGTATAGGAATCTAGTTCTTTGATTGACTTTTTTTATTACATTGGATGCCATTTTGTCACAGGAGAGGTTTGCCTCAAGAATAGATCCTAGGTATGTAATTTCCTTCTTACTTGTGACAATAATGTCGCCCACTGCAACTGAGAAGTCGTCGGATTTGCTGAGATTATGTTTCGAACCGAAGAGAATGGACTCTGTTTTACCCAGGTGTAATGATAATTTATTATCGGCGAGCCAGGTGCAGATTCTGCCGAGCTCGGAGCTGAGGGTTTTTTCAACCTGCAATCTGCTCCTGTCAGAGACCAGCAGGGCTGAGTCGTCCGCGAACAGGAACAAGTTGCAGTCACATGCTGATGACATGTCATTTACATAAATTAGGAACAGTAACGGACCTAATATGCTTCCTTGTGATGAAGCTCTGCAGTCCTGATTGGTCCAAAGTTCTCAGGTTTCATACACCTGTGTACTTGAAATCTGCTAAGCTGTTCCAACTCTGTGATCCATTTCTGCCATTGTTTTGAGTATTCTTCTGGGATGGTTTCATCCCATCCACTTTATCCTGCATAGCTCTTGGAGGATCTGCCTGGCTTTAAGGATACATGGGGAGAGGAATCCTAACGGGTCGTAGATGGAACTGACTGTAGAGAGGATCCCTCTCCTGGTAAGAGCTCTGTTTTTGATATTGACTTTGAATATGAAGGAGTCTTTCTCTGTATCCCATTGGATTCCAAGTGCTCTTTCAATTGGCAGGTTTTCCCTGTCAAAGTCCAGATCCTTGAATAGCTTTGCTCTGTGATGCTCAGGTATACTTGCAAGCACTTCACGGTTGTTACAGACCCATTTGGTCAATGAGAAACCTCCTTTGGCGCATGCGTCTCTGAGGTCTCTGATAAGCTTAATAGCTTGTTCAACTGTGGCCACGGATTTGAGGCAATCGTCAACGTAAAAGTTGGAATTGATTGTTTCAGTTACCTCTTCGTCGTACTTGAAGCTGTTGTCTTCTGCCACTTGTCTGAGAGCATAGTTAGCAATGCTAGGTGAGGACACAGCGCCAAAGAGGTGGACCTTCATTCTATATGCCTCCAATGAATTTTCAGTGTCTCCATCTGGCCACCACAGAAACCTAAGGAAGTCTTTGTGCTCTCTCTGGACTTGCACTTGATAGAACATTGCCTCGATGTCCCCCATGAAAGCAATTTGTTCTTGGCGGAATCTAAGCAGAACTCCAATGAGAGTGTTCGCCAGGTCTGGACCTTGGAGAAGTTCCTTGTTAAGAGATGTGCCTTTGCATGATGCAGTGCAGTCAAACACAACTCTAAGTTTGCGCTTTTGTTGATGGTAAACACCGTGGTGAGGTATGTACCATATCTGTCCATCATTCCTGTTAAGCTGTTCTGATGGCACTCTCTCTGTGTTACGTTCCCTTGTAGAGCTAGGGGTACCAAGGGAAGTAGCGACACACAAGATAGCCGGACGAGAGAAAAAGGAGAGGAAACTGAATGCTGAAGGAGTTTAAGTGAGGTTTTAATTGGTAAATAAGTAAGGCGGCTCACCAGCTCAATTACAAAACAAACTTACAGTAAACAACACACAACTATGCTGGGTCTCACACAGAGACATGCTGCACACATGCAGCCAGATGAGAAGGAGAGAGAGAGCAGCAACCTTCCTCCTGTCCTATATGGAGGCCCTGATTGAGGATTGGGAGCACCTGGGGAGAGGCTGCACCTGGGGACAATCAAGGCTGCACCTGGGGAGTCAGAGGGAGAGAGAGAAAAACACCCACACGACCACACAAACACGTAACACTTCCCCCCATAAAACCAAACAAGTGTTTGGTCACAGTTACCAACAACACCCACCACCCAGTTCACCAGCATACCATTGGATGCGTGGAAGCTGCCACCTGCTGCTTCCAAGCATCACACTCCGCCGCCAAATGACCAGGGTCAAGACAAAAGAAACACAATCTCCTAGTGTTGGGACCTGGGAGAGAAACGGACTGAGCATGTGTGACACGTCTGTTACGAGCCCTACAGTGAGGATAACTGCCCTGAGGATACACTTTAGGTTTCAAGCACTCATCAGGCCCTTTGTTAACAGTGGCCCGTCCACTAGGACACACTGCTGTAACCAAACCCACCCCCTCTGGGCGCCTGCCATCCACTGTCTGCTTTCTCTTCCAAGCTGCACAGTCTGCTATCATATGACCTGTGTCCAGACAAAAATAACAAGCTCTGTTTATCCTGGGACCTAACAATGGAACACTGGCACAGGGAACGTAATTGTCAGGAGCTCTATGATAAGTGTCCCGCTGAAAAAAAACGCTCTTGTGTATCAGCGCAAACTCGTCTGCCAGAGTGGCAGCCTGCTGAAGGGTAGTCACTTTCTGCTCATTCAGGTAGACTACCGTACGCTCCGGTACACAGTGTTTAAACTCCTCTAACATCATTAGCTCGCACACTGAAGCAATGTCATCAGCTCTACACGCTCTACACCACCTGTCAAAGAGGGCTTTCTTCTCCCTCGCGAAGTCCACGTACGTTTGGCCAGAAGCTTTCTTCATGCCGCGAAAACGCTGCCTGTAGGCCTCAGGCACAAGCTCATATGCCCTGAGAATAGCACTTTTCACCTTCTCATACACCAAACTGTCCTCGACAGAAAGAGAAGAGCAAGCCTCTTGAGCCTTGCCGACTAGCTTGCACTGTAACAGAATAGCCCACACGTCTTCTGGCCAGTGCAGAGCAGCAGCAATGCGCTCAAATGCACCAAAATAGACTTCCACCTCTGATTCACGAAACACAGGGACCAAATAAATATGCCTGCTCACGTCAAAGGAGGCAGCAGGACCAGAAGGTGTAACTGCGGGATCACCCATCACAGCTGCTTGGAGCTCTAGCTGACGCATCCGGACAGCAGTGTCTGCCTCCAACTCCAACTTCCTGATCTCCAGCTCCTGCTTCCTGATCTCCAGCTCCAGCTCCAGCTCCAACTTCCTGATTTCCAGCTCCAGCTCCTGCTTCCTGATCTCCAGCTCTTGCTCCTGCTTCCTGATCTCCAGCTCTTGCTCCTGCTTCCTGATCTCCAGCTTCCTGATCTCCAGCTCCAGCTCCTGCTTCCTGATCTCCAGC